ATGTGTCATGCACATTGCACACTGAGATTTCAACATATGGATTAAAAATAAGTGTATGTTTTGGCAGATCAGCAAGGCTATCTATTGCTAGATGAGCATACATCCACTGATTCATACAAACTGAAATTACAAGCGTACCAATAATGTTCACAGTGACTTCTCCCTACTCTTGCGCAGGTCCTTGTTATAAATCATATATATACGGCGCCATCCGTGGTTATTACAGCACCCTCCTTTGTACATAGGGGTTCTGTTAAGGAGTGCAGCAGTTCCTCAAAGATTGCGCTTGTAATAAATCAGGCCCATTGCCTAAAATACTTCTAAGGTATGATGACAACATTCTTCCACCAGAGGGCAGCACACATCAAACATTGGTCTTTTTACTGCTGATACTAAAACTGTCTCAGTTATATTTTCCAGATTTCTTTCCCAACATACAAATAAAACTACCAACAGAGATGGAAAGGGGGTAAAAAGTATGAATAAAATTATGGATTGTGACCAGAAAAGGTGCTGTTTTATAATTCTGATATTAAGAACACATTTTGCATACTGATTAGATACTGTGTGATGTATTTTATTATAGCGTGAATTCTGAATAACTAGTTTGTGGAAGATCCTTGCTAAAGTTGTCTTCATCTGATTAGTTTGTGCCAGGGGGCATAGAAATGTCTGTACATTTCACCTTTATTTGTTAAACTGATGGCTCTTCTGACTTAGGACAGATTGACTCAGTTGCAATTCATCACTACACATAGCGTGCATTATATTGCATGTTAGGCCTCATTCACATGAGAAAAGGCCAACAGGTACAGCTCCGTGCTGCGTGCACGGCCGTGTTGGGCAGCTCCCGGGCATGGCAGGTGCTGCGTGTGATTAGTACGCAGCCCCTGTCCTTCTCTATGGGAGTATGTGGCCGTACGCTGCCCTACGCTCACCCCAAGTGCAGGTCCGTACGGGTGCGGGTGACCCGGCTCGGATGCAGACAGAACCCATCGCTCTAACGATGTGCAGATATTTTTTGGGGAGAATGAGTCGTGGTCTATTACTATGTATATAGCTCCACCCCTTAAAATATGTAAATATCACAGTTGAGACTATTTTCAGTGGGGGGGCCAGTAGTCCCTATCTTAATTTTGGTTGCTCCTGTCTGCCTGACATCTTGTGTCCGGGTTTCTGCTGCCATGAAACCCGGACACAGCATTCAGAGCCCGGACTGTCCGGGTGAATCCTGGACAGGTGGCAACCCTACCCACCTGAGAGTCTGCACAGCCCACCATAGAACCTGCACAGCCTCCTGGGACCCCGCACATCCCTCTAAGACCCCAAAAACCCCTCTGGGACCCCACACAGCCACCTGAGATCCTCTACTGGAGTCATAAGTCTGGCACCCTGGAGCAGCACAGAGTATGTAGCTTTATAATATTCTGCATTGATGTATAATGCATTGCTGGGATTTGTAGTCATCTATAGCCAGTTGCCATTTGGCATTGCTGTATAATGTATCACTGGGATTTGTAGTCCTCTCTAGCTGATGGTATTATTCTGCATTGCTGTATAATGTACTGCTGGGATTTGTAGTCCTCTATAGCTGGTTGTATTCTGCATTGTTGTATAATGTGTTGCTGAGATTTGTAGTCCATCTTCAGCTTGAAGTCAGTGACAGAACTATTAGGGGTGCAGAGTTTGCAGCTGGGACCGAGCCCTGGCACTTCACCACTGTTCTTAAATCATTAGTCTGTATTAGCTGAAGGTTATTAGCTGGAGGTTATTGCTGGGGGCTGGCATTGGCGGCCTTGAAACTTGCTGGCCATTATTGCTGAGGGCTGGCGTTGGAGGCCTTGACACTTGCTGAAGGTTATTGCTGGTTGTTGGCATTGGAGGCCTTGACACTTGATGGCGGTTATTGCTGAGAGGTGGCATTGGATGCCCTGACACTTGCTGGAGGTTATTGCTGAGAGGTGGCATTGGATGCCCTGACACTTGCTGGAGGTTATTGCTGAGAGGTGGCATTGGATGCCCTGACACTTGCTGGAGGTTATTGCTGAGAGGTGGCATTGGAGGTCCTGACACTTGCTGTAGGTTATTGCTGGGGGTTGGCATTGGAGGCCCTGACCCTTGCTGGCGGTTATTGCTGGGAGCTGGCATTGGAGGCCTTGACACTTGCTGGAGGTTTTTTATTGGTGATGACATTGCACGCCCTGACACTTGCTGGTGGTTATTGGTAGTGGTCATTGGTGGCGGTTATCGGCTAAAAATATGCAATTTATACAGTTCAATTTCAATTATTGTTTGCATTTTTTTATTTTTTTATTGTAAATAGAGTGGGGAAGTGTTAAAGTCCCTGTCAGGTTTTTATCACTATTTGTGTCACCTATGGTAAGATTCACCTGTTTTGATACAGAAAGTTATGGGTAATAAAAAATTTTTAGAGTTCGAACAGAAGGTGAAAGTAAACCCGTCATTGAGGAAATTTGTTCCAGTAACAGTTGATTAAAACATCCCGTTCTGTCTCTGCAACAGGAAATGAAGGGGCATCTTCCTAATGATACACAGACAGGAAATTAACATATAAGGGGTCTTAAAGAAGAATTCTCGGCAGAATCAAAGTTAGCCCTTGCCCTGGGTTGAGTGCTCCTTTTGGTCTAGGGTCTATAATATATCAAAGATATACTCCCCTGAACCTCGGTCTTGCCTGCCTGCTAGACCAGTCCCTGCAACCTCTCTCCCCCTCTGCTTCAATGGTCTTAGGATCCATGAGTTGTCATGTCTAATACAGTGTATTGGACGGGAGGATGCCGAGGGACAATCCACCACCGGAATAGAGGGGCAGAGAGGCTGCGAGGACTGCTTGGGCAGCAAGTCGGGAACGAGGTTCTGGGGTGAGTATATCTTTGTTATTTTAGACCCTGGGCAAAATCGAGCACTTAATCCTTGCAGTGGGGTGGTTGCCTCACTGCAAGGGTTACGTTTTATTCCCATAGTTCTTCTTTAACCATTCCCTATTCAACCACAAAAAATTGGCTTTACCTACCCCTTAATGCAGTACTGCCTGTTCCTCACTGACTTAACTCTCCATAATTGCAATGCTTATTGTCTTCTCTACATGTTTTCTTTTTAATCTTCTCCATTTCTCTGGGCTCCCTCCTTTTACCCCTCTTTACACCAATGCATTTCCTCCCTATACTACTCTCTTCCCCATTCCAGCTACACACATCCCCTTCCTGCAAAACACTCCAACTATCTGTCCCCCATCTTGCACCACACTCCAGCTCTTTGTCGCCTTCCTGCACCTCACTACAACTCACTGTGTCCTTCCTGCACCCCATTCCAACTCTTTCTGACACTCACTCGGACTCCATGTATACTTTTAATTTTGGCTTTGCCTCTACCTCTCTGTGTGGGTGGGCTTTTGTTCATTTCAAGCAGTTTTGCATTCCCAAGTCTATGGAAGTGCAAAACCCATCCAAAGTTAAATGTACCTGTCAATAATTTCTGAATGATCTCAAGGGCATCTACAATAGATGTCAAACTGATGACATCAATCCACGCCCAAAGCCCCCGACACAGGCCCAAAATCTGCCCCTTCGACACCACATGATGTATTCAAATGGACATGAAAGATGGTATTCTTTTTCCTTTTCTTACAGAGCTTCCTCTAACACAAGGAGTGGCAAGGGTGACTGTAATAGATCCAGAAGCAGCTGGTAGTTTGCCCCATCTGGCAACGTACCTGTGATGGCAAGGTGTGTTGGGGTGCCATTAGGAAATAATGGCAAGGCACTTGCAATGGCTAGGTGCATTGGGGTGCCATTAAGAAATGATGACAGCACACATAATGGCTAGGTGCGCGGGGGTGCCATTAAGAAATAATGGCCAGGCACTTACAATGGCTAGGTGCATTGGGGTGCCTATAAGAAATGATGGCAGCACACATAATGACTAGGTGCGTTGGGGTGCCATTAAGAAATAATGGCAAAGCACTTACAATGGCTAGGTGCATTGGGGTGCCATTAAGAAATGATGGCAGCACACATAATGGCTAGGTGCATGGGGAGGCCGTTAAGAAATAATGGCAAGGCACTTACAATGGCTAGGTGCATTGGGGTGCCATTAAGAAATTATGGCAGCACACGTAATGGCTAGGTGCATTGGGGTGCCATTAAAAAATAATGGCAAGGCACTTGCAATGGCAGGGTGCGTTGGAGTGGCAGAAACTATGGCAATGAAACGCCCTGAACAGTACACGATCTCATGCAATGCGGGGACACAAGCAATTCTGCATCACGTAGATGAGAACTGGGGGCTTGTGAGGAAAAAGTTGCAACAACATAGAAATTAAAAAAAAAAACTTTATTGTTTATCCTTCATGCTGTTATGAAATACTTTGTGAAGTGACTAGAAATGTGAATCACTTGTATAACCTTATGGGGGTTTATTGGCTACAGATACACAGCCATTTCTAGGGGCCCCATTGCAGTGTATTAGTGTCACAGGAAAGGACGCTTGTGCAGAGCACACACCAGAAATGCGTGCACACCCTGCCTGTGTCATTGCTTTCTAATAGAGCTCTATCTCTATCACTAATAAAGGAATATTCTCTGACACTCAGCCAGGACCGGAAGTTGATGTCGTTCTACTGGCGGAAGTAGGCTGTGCCTCTTTATTTACAGCACGGAAAGATGGCAATGAGACCGGGAGCCGGGGGTGCCGGCAGCGGCAGGTGTGTACACACTTTATACATGGGGGGGTTTCCCACAGACGATCGGGTAGGGTGGATATGTCCGGGTTAGGCGATGGGTGGAGCAGTAGTGTGAGGTGAGGTGGTGACATCGGACAATGCGTAGTATGTTGGGGGGGAGTAGTCAGTAATGTATGAGGATTGTCATACGCTGAGAGTCTGACTTGTACACAGGATACACTTGTATTAGGAAATCCATTGTTTTCCTACAGTTATAAGTATTATGGAATGTTCACATTCATTACACCTGACAGTGGGGCTCAGTTATACCAGGGTGCCGGTTAATGAAGTCATATCAGCAGCCAATCACATTCCACTTGTCATCTTCACACACTCCCCAAAGCCAAGTGATTTAGAGGCTTTTTTCAATTTTTATGTATCCACCTTTTTATGCATGACAGGTATTAGAGGAGTGGTGATGTGCATGAGCTTGGTATGATCTGTGTTTGTTTACCCAAGACTGTGCAAAACTCCTCCACCTCCTGGCAAATAAATTTGCAACCGGGTCATTCTCTGCCCCATTGTTATGTGTAGCTGCCCTGGCCGCTACTGATTGGGCCCAGACGGAAATGTTTCACTGACAGTTTTACGTGAACTTGGATCGAACTCGCTACCCACCAAAGCCATGCACATCACTATACTGGAGCAGATGTGTGTGCATTTGGTTCCATAGACTATAATATACCATCACACTTGCTGGGCGCAATGTTTTGCAAATTCACAAAATGCGTGAAAAGAATTTGTCTCTGTGCCATTCTTTTTAATAGCGCCCCCCCCAAACACGGCAAGCTAGGTGTGTGATAAACACATGCTCAAAAAATTAGTGAAGCTCACAGCTCCAATAGTTTAATTAATTGCGCATAGTGCAGCCAATTGAAATGAAGAAGCCACCCTATGCGGATGCAGGACAAAAACGCCATGTGTATAGCAAGTGTAAAAGGGAGCACCTGAAAAATGCTTGTGGTTTTTCAAGTGCCGTCATCAAACTCTATGGGGCCAAAAATGCACTATTTTGCCCCCAAAGACGCTTACTGCTTTAGGCTTCATGCAGCAAGTAACACAATGGTCATGTGTGAACAGAGCCATTGAGAGTAATGGGATTCTTCATCTTGAGCGTTGTCGTACTACAGGAATTGCTCAGGTGTGACCGGGGCCCAACTGCTTGCTATTATTTCCCATTGCATCTTTTGTTTCAGAGTGGTCACCCTAGTATTCCTGTGTTTTAAATTATTGTCAATAGATGATCTGTGGTTGTGAGAATGTACAGCTTTCTTCATTACCGTGGAGATAAGGAGTGCAAAGTTGGTGCTTCACGTTACCTCCTTATCCCCCTCCTTCCCGAATGTAAAAAGCCTTTTATTTACATTTTTGTTTACTTGTTTTGGCTCTGACTCCGCCCCTCTTACCTAGGCGAGAATGATGTGTCCTTGCTCCCACAAACTCCTGCGATATCCCCATCATAATCATATTTCCCAGGAGGCTGGGAAACACATTCACAGAATATGGTTTAAGATAAGAATCAAGAAACATTTTCCAACCTGCTCCTTTTTGATTTTTTTTTGGCTTACTATTGTCGAACTGTCAGAAAATTGAAGAAATGTTTTGAATAAAACCCTATTGGTGTATGGCCCTGATTGTGACAGGTTGACAATGTAGGAGCACAATTAGGAGACATTTGCCACCCCATTAAAGACAGCGAATGAAGTTGAACAAGGACAGGATCACCAGGTACTATTTATTGAAACCTGCAGATTTAAAAATATTGAACACCACTTTTGAAAGTGACACTAAACTCAGGATTTAAATCTTGAAAATGCATTGAAATACTATAACTATTAACAATACAGTACCTCTTTTGTTTATCACTTGGCTGTAGATTCCGAAATCATCTCTGAATTGGTGCTGACACTGTCCTTCCTATTGGAGGGTGGCTACTTTTGTTCTCCATGGTCCCTGTGTGTGTTGTAAAGTAGTCCCTGCTCCAAACTCACTCAAGTGATGGACTACAGTCTAGAGCTGCAGTTAACAATTATTTTCAAAATCGATTAGTTAGCCGATTATTAAGTTCGTTTAATCGGATACAAAACATAAAATAATTTTTTTGTGTGGAGCCGTGAACAGGGCCAACCAATAGGAATCCGATTAATCGATGATTGAAAAAGTTGACAACTTTTTCAATCATCGATTATGTTGATTAGTTGTTGCAGCCCTACTACAATCTCAATACAAATTAGTAAACTAAATGTGAGATTGTAGTCCATCACACAAGGGAGCTTGGAGTGGAGGCTACTTTACAACACACACAGGGACCATGGGGAACAGAGGTAGCCACCCTCCAGAAGGAAGGACAGTGTCAGCATGAATTCAGAGATGATTTGAGGATCTACAGCCGAGTGATGCATAAATAAGATAGGTAAGGTACTTAAATGCATTTTTAGGATTTAATTTCTGAGTTTAGTGTTACTTTAAGTTTTAAATCAGGTACATCAAAATAAAAGATATTAACTTCAGAAAGCAGCCACAGCCTTAGTAGAAATGCCTGTCCCCTGCCATCATGCTTCAGAGGAGGACTCTCTTTGTAGAATCAGTGGTCTCTTTGCAGTGGTCTGACACTTTGTAAAGCCCAAAAAACGTAAATATATATTTATATTGTATAGGCAATGTACTTATTAGGTAACATTGAAACTACTTTACCTGTCCCTTAACCTATCACCTGGTACACACCCTCGGAACTCTTAAATAAGTAGTATTTAAATATGCATTTTATTTGCACATAAAATGAAATACTTGTGTTCATTCGTCTTCTTCTTTCCTTTTTTTTTTTTTTTTAAAGAATAATATGACTACCTTTAGTATTGCACAGTGGGAATGCAGTCACAAATATGTGCTGCCAGCTGTATATTTCTTGCTACTGTTGGAAGTTTTGTGGGCTGGGCTGCCCACAACGAACCCTTCCATGGATCCATCTGTAAAGGTGGCCATACACTCTACAACCATCGCAAGACTTTAGTCTTGCGATGGTTGTAAAGGGATTAAAAAAACGTACGATCTGCCCATCTTGGACAGGCAGATCGTACTCTCGATCATCGCAAGCCGCGCCCCCCTGAGGGGCGGGCTTCTGATGACCGCAATGCTGAACGGGCAGTGTGCGCGTGTGCACACCGGCCCGTTCAGCATTTATCTTCCGAGCACCGTTCTAACCAGCCGAGAATCGTACGATTCCCGGCTGGTTTTCGAACATGCTGGTTCGACAGAAGACGTGCGACCGTACAGTAGAAACGGTCGCACGTCTCCGTTCACACTGCTCGATTATCGTACGAAAAACCGATCGCATACGATTATCGTACGATAATCGTGCAGTGTATGGGCACCTTAAGAGTGTACATAGTGTAAGCCCTGTGTCCTTTGGATCCCTGTACAGGCTCTGCTGCACAAGACTGGCTCGTCTTTGTTTTCAAGAATATCAGATGTTAGGGGAGAAAAGCTGTGTAATAGGATCACCATTCTGATGTTGGTAACAGTTTCAGTGACTATTGACCTCTACAGCATAGTACAGAGGGCATTAAAGGAGAACTATGAGGTGAGTTCTTTTCACTCACCTCATAGTTCTAGCCGACCTGTGACAATGAGACTGTCACAGGTCGGCTCAGTAGATCGGGAGGTGGGAGAACACATACCGGCGTTCGCTCACCTCTCGATCCTGTCACGGCTCTCTGCCGTGACGGGACGGCCTGAATTCCCCCCCTCCGATCCGCCAGCGCTGACTGGCGGAACGGACGGGCGGGGCGGGTACAGCTGGCTCTGCCTCTAGATAGGCAGAGCCAGCTGTCAGTCACGCAGCTGGGCAGATCCAGACACAATTGTCGGGATCCGCTTCATCTGCGGCGTCTCAGTATACCGCGAGCTACACTGAGCCTAGGGTGACGGGAGGCCGCTAGTTTGTGTCCTACCGTTACCCTAAGGAGAACTATGGGGAAAAGACAACCCCATAGTTCTCCTTTTAAAGTGGACGACGGACAGTAAAATATTTACATACTCCTAACTAACAGGTAAAACATATTCTTAAAGGAGATCTACGGCCCAACCCTTTTTTTTTTGCCATAGTTTTCTTTAGGGTCACATATACTAATGTCCTCCTGTGACCCAAAACTCAGCATATAGCCGGCTATTGCCCGCTGTATGCTGACAGCGCAGAGGTGCGCTGCAGCCGGGACAGGTTCCGTCAATTTTGTCGAGATCCACCCCGTTGTCTTCTTGACGGCTCTAGAGGCAGAGCCAGCTGTGCCCGCCCACTCCCTCGTCCATCCCTCCAGTCAGCACTGAAGGAACAGAGAGGGGAGGGGGGAATCCCCTCGGGGGGGATGATCGGGAACTGAGCGATCGACGGTATGTGATCGCTCAGTTCTCGATCAATAGAGTCGACCTGTGACAGCTTCAGTGTCACACATCGGCTCTGATTATGGGGATGAGTCCATTTCACTCTCCCCATAATTCTCCTTGAACTAATAACATGACTTTAAAACAAGTGCTTGCTATTTGCAGTTATCTTAAAGATCCTCAGAAATCACAACCCAATTATAAACAGTGACCAGAAGCTGTCAGTGACAGTACAGTCACTCTGCTGGGTGTGCACAGTGACCGTACTTCCAGCACAGAAAGATGGACGCATATATGCAGTGGTAGGGAGATAGTTGGGAAGGTGTTCACAGTGTTTATAGATGAAAAGGTAAATGATTGCTGTCTTTTCATCTTCTTGTACAAGTTTAAGGGTTTTCTCCCCAAAATGTGTTGCAGTATACCTGTAAAGTATGTGTCTGTCAGACACAAAGGTAAATGATGGCTTATTTTAAAATGCTTTTAGTGCTTGTTCAGAATATGTAAACTCCAGGCAGTTCTAAACATAACCCTTGCAGTGGGGCTACCCTGCACTGCAAGGCTTGAGTGCTCGTTTTTGTCTAGGGTGTAAAATAAAAAATGTATACTTACCCGAAACCTCGGTCCTGCAGCTGTGAAGACTCATCTCTCTCTCCTCCTACGCTGCAGCTGTGGTATGTCCCTCGGCGGCGTCATGTGCAATGCATGTCAGTGGACTTGTATTACACGGTTTAAGTGGGGCTTAGACCACCGGAGCCCAGGGTAGAAGAGGCTGCAGTCTCTAGCAGCCAGACGGGATCAAAGGTCAGGCAAGTATATTGAGGGGAATTTATCTAACTGGAGCAGTTGTACATGGCAACCAATCCGCTTCTCTCTTTCATTTTCAAATCTTAACTGAACAACCTAAAGAGAGTAGCTAGCTGATTAGTTGCTATGGGCAACTGCTCCAGTTTCTGCCCGCTCCATTTTTGATAAATTCCCTTCATTGTCTTTATTTGCACCCCTAGACCAAAACTAGCTCTTAACCCTTGCAGTGGGGAGGGGGGTGTTGCCCCACTGCAAGGGTTAAGTTTTTAACCCTTTAAGCTGCACATACACTAGCAGATTTTTTTTTTTAATTTTTGTACAGGGCTGTAAAATTGTCAGCTGAACAGTGACTGCAGCCAGTGTTCAGGTATTCTGACAGTAGCACACCATCCTCAGTCAGAATACCTGAACACTGACTGCAGCTGATTGGCTGCAGTCACTGTTCAGCCAAAAATTTGCCACCCTGCTCCTTCGATTTTCAGATTAAAGAATGTTGGGCAGGAGGCTGCCAGCAGGACACCCATGGAGCAAATTAAGACCAGAATTTCAAGAACTGGCTGAAATTAGCTCCGTGTATGGCCAGCTTCAGTATGCATGATCTGGGCACAGGTTCACAAGGAACTGGTCTTTTGTGCAGAATATTTGTAAATAACAGGTTTTATTTATACTACATTAACATCACAGTAGTGGCCAATTCCCATTTATTAGCTCTTGTTGTTTTTGCATCCTTTGCAGTGGCGTCATTTTTGCAGTACAGCCTGAATCATGAATTGTTACACGTCACATTTTTAGTATCATTTTGCACCGTGGTTTGTGTCGCTATAACAAAAGATCAGCTTGATGAAAATCATTGTATCAAAAAATATATATATTTTTTATTATTAACCCTGATTTCTAGGTCTAGCTTCTCATTTTAGATGTACATGGGAAGGGGTGCAGCCCTATTTCCCCTTTACCTATGCAGGTTCTGTTTCCTGCACAGTGGTTGTTCTTTAATAGTTATATGCTCAGGTTCAGTCAGAACCCAGAATGAAGCTGTCACTGCTGGCTCAAACAGCTGTGACCAGGGTATTTCCTGTCACAGCTGCATGTAAACCTAGGTGCGGGATGCTGGTGACATCATTGACCAGATATGGCCACATAGGGCCCTCCTTACCATCTTGTCTTGAATTGTATTGTGATTGTAATGTCTTCCTTATATTGTAAAGCGCTGAGGAAACTATCGGCGCTATATAAATCCTGTATAATAATAATGTCCATATTCCTTAAGTAAGGTAAATGATGTCACCAGCATCGCACCCCTTTGGACATTGTTTATGTCCAGCTATGGGGTAGGGAATGCACTGGCCGCAGTTGATTGGTCCAGCACTGACTGTTTCCTTCCAGGTTCAGACACCTTCAAGTTCGGATGGAACCTCAGCTCATTCCTATTCCATCACAATGCCAGTCTATGCTTTTTATATTGCGGCTGATTTCTAAAAAAAGCTGTTCAAGCAGAATTGCACTCGCTGGTTTATGTTTTTCAGTAACAACTCTACATAATAATATGCAAACATGTAAAAACTCCTTCTAAATGTTGCCTGGTGTCCATGCTGATCCAATGGCTTCAGTACTTCTGACGTCACTGGCCAGCAACAAGTGCTGAAATCTGGAGTTCTGCCTTTAGCTGTTGCATTCTTGTGACCCCCCCAAGTATAAAAGCTTTAAAACAAAACACCTTTTATTTGCAGACCAGGAATAGATTCTGGCAAGGTTTTCTAAATTCTTTACTGCCCTAATTTTCAGTGTGCAGTGTGTATAATTGATGATGTACTTGTGTTAGTCTTACAGCATCAATTTCCTTCCTCATATCAAATTGTACCTGCTGCTGCTGCTGCTGTGGCTGCTGCTGAGAGAGAGAGAGAGAGAGAGAGAGAGACCTTCGCACCATGCTTTGTACATTATAGCGTTTGTGCATTCAGTTGCAGAAAGAATCGTAATGCAAATTTCAAGGTACACAAATCTATTATTCTTTTGGAAAAAGTGCTAGTTGTATGGTGCACATCGAGTGTACATTCTCTTCATTAACCTTTAAAGGAGAACTATGAGGTGAGTGATTTTCACTCAACCTCCTAGTTCGAGCCGACGTGTGACAATGAAACTGTCACACGTCGCCTCTAGATCTGGAAGTGAGCAAACGCATAGCGTCGCTAGCTCACTTCTCGATCTATCCCTGCAGAGAGCTGTGGCTGTCACTCACGGCTCCCTGCAGGGATTCCCCCCCCTCTCCTGTCCGATCCTCCAGCGCTGACTGGCGGAGGGGATAGGCAGAGCAAGCTGTCAATCACACAGCTGGGTGGATCTCGACAGTAATGTCGGGATCCGTCCCAGATGAATCAAAAGGTGTGTACTTAGAGGGGGGTACTTATGGTTCATCCTGCGGTTCCAGAGCTAAGTCGTCTGTATTGGGACCCTGAGGTAAAGTGGGTCCAACATAGATTCATCCAATTTGTCATGTTTGGTATACAATAATTCTTCCATTTCACAGATGTGTTCCACTTGTTTAATCCACGCAACAGAGATTCTAACCATTACATACTTAATGCAAAGCAATTAGTCCAGTTATAATTTAAAGTGCACCACTCATAATAACTATATGTAGGCTGCCATTGCTTTATTTCTTCTAAAAATGTTCGTTGTCTGGCCTTGTCTAGCTTCAGTACTTCTAGGATTACACCTCCAGAACAAACATGGAGCAAATAAAGTCTGAGAAAAGTCCGTGTTTCTAATTTCTGTACTTTGAGAATGAATAACTCCTCAGTGTCTCAGGTGCAGTGAGGGCTTGTAAGAATATACTGTATATACCTGCCTGGATGTCCTTAGCCTGTCTACAGGTTCACTATCTGTACAGAACACCGCTACAAATGTCATTTCTTGATAAGTTGTTTGGCTTGCTCGTCCCAGCTGCTTCTCTTCTTTTTTTTTAATTTGGACTAGACTTATTCTAGCAGGCAGGGCATCCCAGTTGGCACCTAGGATTCCGGAAAAAAGTGAAATGCATGTTTATGTTTCTACTGAAGGCAGTAGGTAAACTTGCAATCACATTTGCTGAAATCCTTGCACTGTATATAATTGAAGATGATTTAACATGTTCTAAAAATAATTCCTTCCAACCTTTTACAAGTCGTCGTCTTTTTTTTTTTTTTACAGTTTTGTGTTTCCTATAGTGACCAGCATTGGCTCATCTCGAGGTATGTATACAGTGTGTGATTGTATAAACATACAGGCTGTACACAAATGTCAGAGAGAAGTATAGCACACTGCTCATTTCCTTAATCCTTCTTTGTATTCTGTATTGTGCAGGCTCTGTTTGTTCTGCAGACATGCTCCATGTTTTAAAACTTGCACTCTTATAAAGTGCAACTGATCATATGAAATTGTGCAATTCTATTACTGCACAATGATGTAGCTGGGCAAAAATATTCTTGATGGATTTTGTATTGTTTTCTAGGGCTGCAACTATTGATTATTTTCATAATCGATTAGTTGGCTGACTTATTTTCTTTTCCGGTTAATCGGATAAAAAATAAGAAATAAATACCATCCCTAATTTAAAATAAAATACACAAATGGAGTGTTACAAACATAAAGTTTACTTCAGAATAAAACTGCATGCACAATTTTGTGCAATCGCACTGCGATACTGTGCGTTCCAGTGCGGGCGATCACACTGTAGGTGGGAGGCGCATTTGGGGTGCCATTGAAATGAATGGCACTGCAAAACACCGCCCGCAGCAGAATTTGTCAGGCTGAAAACGAAAAATGACTCCCTCGCCCACACCCACATTTTTTTTAAATGGCGCTTGAATAGCTTTAGCCCGGGAATGACAGCTGCCAGTAGCAAGATTCCGCAGACAGCAGCTGAATGTAAATACGGCAGGTAGTGGGCTGGTGCAATAGCCAGCATACTATTGGCCATTTCAAATTGCAATAGCAGGCTGACTATTGCACCCACCCACTGCTTGCTATGCCCTCCTCCCAGCGTGGAGGAGAGAGCTAGGGGATCCAACCAACTAATCGATAATGAGAATAGTTGACGAGTATTCTCATAATGGATTATTATCGATTAGTTGGTTGCAGCCCTATTCTTTTGCTATCCTATCCTCTCTTGACAACTGACCTACATGTCAACAGGCCAATTGGCTGCAGAAATTCAAGCCCAAAAGTTTCTTTTAGAAGCTTCAGAGTAGTTTGTGTAGCTCAACCATGAAAAAAAAGGTGTCTCTCTGTTGTGATTGTGTATGTATTTATTTATGCTAACTTACGGGCATTTATTTGTGGGGTTGGGCTACCATCATTTGGGTTTGTAATAGCCAAAGCTGTTGGAAGGATTGCATCTGACAATTTTCTTCTTGCTGTAGGAATGATACCAGTGCAACAGCAAACCGCTCGGTTTCCCATGGTACCGGTGATGCAAACAAATGTTCAAAATATGATGGCAGTTGGATATAGTCCTCAGATTCCTCAAGGAGCCATGGCCATACAGGTAATCTTTTGATGTTTATAGAATTGGTGCATTTTGTTTTCTGTCACACTGCTACTTTATGGTTTACCTTACCTTGTTCACACCAAATGCAGACCAGATCTGCATGAGTTTCTGCACACGCAGTGCAGTGGGTTGTGCTGTGTTTTTGCCACGTTTTTGATGCACTCCGGGACGTTTTTGGTAAAAAAAATAAAAATCTTTTTAGTTTAAAATTGGCTTTTAGTGCGTTCCGGGTCGTTTGCATGCGTTCCGTAGCGTTCCAGAGCAGGTAAAATATGGCTTGCTGCAGTTTTTTTACATGCTCTGGAACTGAACGCTGCGGTCTGAACTAGAGCCCAAAATACTATTAAAATACATTGGACGCAGTTTTGGTCCGGCCTGTAACTGCTTTTTACACACTGACATATAAATATATTATGCATTTACACATTTTTTTTCTCTTCTATGGCAAGAATGGGTACATTTCTATATGCACTAACAGGCACACTTTTTTTTGTATGTGGTTATTTGACTCTGGAACTGAAGCATTTCTCTTTGCAGGGTGGGCTATCTATGGGTCCAATGCAAGCAACACCAATTACTTATATGGGGCAAACCGGTTACTTAGGAATGGCTCCTGCAGCATCCGCATACACTGCTGACATGCAGAAGCAGTATGTCGAAGAACAACAGTAAGTGAATTATATTTTGGTACCGTATTGCCACTTAAGGGGAATTTTCTAGTTCTCCAGATGTATGCAACCCTCTTGATGAAAGGATGTTCTAGGGGAAAACTTATTTACCCCAAGTTGTTGCCTGCTCAGGGGCCTTGGCACAGCATGCTTGGTTTTATACAGAGGTGTATTACTGATAATTCCAGCGTTATCACCACATATCATTTGGGGAGATCTATGGTTCACCGTTGCCAGTACTAATTGACATCAAAGCTGTGGTGAAGGTTGACAGTC